AATATACGTTATATTGAAAAAAATATATAAAATTTTTTATTGCTGCTCCCAATAAAAAAAATACTCGAGTGCAATTTGTCAGGTAAATCCGTTTCGGAGAATTTTCATATGTATGAATTCGAAACAATCCTTTGGTTTCTACAGCTTTCCATCAAGATCGATATAGTACGCGTATACGCGAAACGTGCATGAGCAATAATTGAATCGTAATTGTTCGAATTCAAATTGAAATGTTTACGATTCCAACAAGATTTGTTAATGTATCTGAATGGGAAAAGTAATTGAAATTGGAAGAAGAAATATAGTAAATGGATGATCAATTTTGGGGCCCGATCACGTGAAGAGTTCGCTGTAAGAAAGAACCGAGTGGAAAAATTCACGACAAAATAAAAAATTTATTTTAAGCGTATACTGCTATCTTCGCCATGCATTTCAGTGTATACTGCGCGAACGGAACTGCATGTAAACGGTTTGTTGAGTAGATACAGTCGCGTGACTGCGCGTCTGTGGCTCTTTCAAAGATGCAGAACACTTATTTATTGAATCTGCGCTCGTGGATTGGTGGACATTTGTTTAAAAATTCTGCCATGAGGTTAATATTCGATCCTGAGGTTCGGAATAATATTTTCTTTATCGTTGGTAAATTGTAGACAAACTGTATCACACTGAATCAATACTTCGTCGGATAACCCAACGATCTTAACATAAGTTTTTTCGATTTGTCATTCATAAATTTAATTACATATGTATATTAGAGATGGGACTATTCGAATAATTTAGTATTCGAATATTTTATAACTATTCGAATACTACCAATAAACGTCGAATACTTACTTCAACATTCGAATACTCGAGTATTTGAATACTATTCGAATATTTAAGTATTCAAATATTTGACTGTTCGAATATTTAAGTATTCAAATATGTGACTGTTCGAATATTTAAGTATTCGAATATTTAAGTATTTGAATACTTGACTGTTCGAATATTTAAGTATTCAAATATCTTGTGTAGTGATCAAGTATGTATTTAAATATTCGTAGTACGCATTTGAATGGTGTGATGTGAATTATAAATCAAGTTCTTTAGGTTTATTATTGTTTTCAAACTTTATTGTCATTTAAGACATTCCACAACATTTACTTTTTAGTTTTGGCTTACAGTAGTGAAATGGACAAAAATTAAATATTCGAATAGTATTCGGATACACTGATATTCGAATTATATTCGTCAAGAATTGATCATCTGAAGTGTTCGAATATTCGAATACAAAAAAATTCGACAAGAAGTTCCAGCCCTAACATATATACATTTTCTTGAATGTTGTCGAACGAAATTTTAATTCGTAGTTAACGAAAATTTGAACGAAAAATCGAGCTCCAAAATTTTTCTCGCCAGATGACACGTGACGCCTAATGACGGCTTGAAGGGGGCTTAAAGGCCCTTTAGACCTAAAATAGCCGTAAAATGGGCGTCTTCAAGACGACATGTGCTACCTTGGTCCTGATAACTTTTGTTTAACAAATGTCCGTCAATGCAAAACTATGGATTCCAAAATAAGTTATCTCAGACGATAATTTTGATTATGTAATATTTCTGTGGCAAAAAGGTAAAATAATTGTCATAGAACCTCCATTACTCAACTTGATAGTAACGAGACCACGAGGCCAATTTGTTATTTAGATAGTCTCACAGTTTTATTAATTTTGATCAAATATTAAAGAACATAACAAGTTATTACTTTCCGTTTGCGATTCAGTTATTATTTATTATTTGCAGTTTTTAAATAAAATGGAATCCGAACAATTGTTTAAATAATTAACACTATTCGTTATTATTACAGAAAAGTACTGCAGTCCCTAAAAAGATTCGAAAACAAACTTGTTACTGTTAGCAAAAAAAAATGGAAAAAAATGTTCTATTTACGAAACTTCGCTTTTGAAATGATTCGAACGACGTTTGAAACATTTCTCATGTCATTAAAAATAAAGTAGATATTTATAATAATAAAAATATTATTGACTGTATAATTATGAACGATAAAAAAGATATTGTTAAAAACAGTAATCGCTTTATCAGCCTTGAGGAGCGTAATGCAATCGCAAAATGTTTGGTAAAGGGTCGTTTGAATAATGGAGGGGGATCAACCCATATAAGACAAATATTTGGCCTCTCCAACAGCCACTGAAAATAGAATCAGGGAGCCACGGAAGCGCTTGACTTGCAAAGAAGTTTTAATTGCCGACGCTGGAAATAGTACACCGTGGAAGCTATTTAGATCTTCGTCGAGAATGGACATCTTATCTCGGAAATATAAACGATGAAAAAAGAGACGAAAAAAATTCTGAAATTGTCCCATATAGATGGAACGACCTGTACCATACGCTGGGAAAATATCGCGGGAAAAAAGGAGACGCGTCAACAATACGCGAAGCCAAAAATAAAAAGCTACAAAGAAAAACGGTGAAAATGTAGGCCTGGCCGTCGACCGAAGAAACTCTACAAAGCTTCTTCTCCGTAAAAAGAAAAAAAAACAACGAAGAAAAGAGAACCATCATTCGCCTCGCTGTGAAATGGAAGAAAAAATTACAGAGATTACACGTGGGGATGCACAGCTTTAGTTTAACGGAAATTAGTACGTGGCGGAGAAAATTACGTGAAAAGTATGTAGTAATCTTGCATTCCGAGGTTTTTGCAGAATTGTAGAGACTACTTTCACTGGTATACTCTAATGAGTTCGACTTTAAAGTTTCATTTTCGTGTGATAGTGGCGAGAATAAAATGATTCCGAAGAAGTGAAAGTAAAATCGAAAAGTTGGGTCTGAGTTTCAGTTTTCGGAACAGGAAGATGGAAACTGCTATATTTTCTTTGAATGGAGAATGAAAACGTGTGGAACAAAAATTGTAATATTTTCGAGATATTTTCGGAATCAGTTTTTTCTCAGTTTGACAGATTATTAGTGAACAACCCACCGAAATATTGGAAAGTGCTTTCATGAAAGTGAAAGAAATTAACCCTTTGCACTCGAACGTTTCTGTAATTGGTACTCGTCTTGTGAATTGTAAAACGAATTGACACTTGTGTTTTTGTGACTTTCAGGTTTGATGTTAGTTCTACGAAATTCCATTTAAACCTCTTTTCCTGAACTCTTCATTAGATGAAAGTGGTCTGACTCGTTAATGGAAGAAGCAAAGTTCCATCAAGTCCTCTTTTCCTTGAGTTCTGAACAGGTCAAAGTGGTTTAAACTCTCAATAGAAGAAGTAACTTCCCATCTAACTCTCCTTCCTTAACTCCTGATCAAGTCAAAGTGACCTAATCCCGTTAATGGAAGAAATAAAGTTCCATTTAATCCTTTTTCCTTAATCCTGATCAGGTCAAAATAGTCTGATCCATTAATGAAAGAAACAAAGTTTCATCTAACCCTGTTTTCCTTAAGTTCTGATCAGATCAAAGTAGTCTAGGCCCTTAATGGAAGAAATAAAGTCCCATCTAACCCTCTTTTTCTTAACTCCTGATCAGGTGAAAGTAGTCTCACCCGTGAATGGAAGAAACAAAGTTTCATATAGCCCTCCTTTTCTTAACTCCTGATCAGGTCTAAGTGGTCTAACCCCTTAATAGAAGAAATTAGGCTCCACTTAACCTCTTTTCCTTAAATCCTAATCAGCTGAGAGCGGTTTAACCCCTTAACTGAAGAAATAAAGTTCCATTTAACAATTTTTTTCTCCAGTTCTCATCAGGTGAATATGGTCCAACCCATTTGTAGAAGAAACTGATTTCTACGTAAACCCATTTTCCTTAATTCCTGGTCAGGTCAAAGTGGTCTAATCTGTTAATGGAAGAAATAAGTTCTATGTAACTCTCTTTTCCTTAATTCCTGATCAGACGAAAATGGTCTATGGAAGAAACAAAGTTTCATCTAACCCTCTTTTTCTTAGTTCCTGATAAGGTCAAAGTGGACTAACCCCTCAATAGAAGAAACAATTGCTCCATTTGACCCTCTTTTCCTCAACTCCTGATCAGATTAAAATGGCCCAACTCGTTAATGGAAAAAACGAGTATTCTATTTAACCCTCTTTTCCTTAACTCCTGATCAGGTCAAAATGGCACAACTCGTTAATGGAAAAACGAATATTCTATTTAACCCTCTTTTCCTCAACTCCTGATCAGATTAAAATGGCCCAACTCGTTAATGGAAAAACAAATATTCTATTTAACTCTCTTTTCCTCAACTCCAGATCAGGTCAAAATGGTCTAACCCCTCAATAGAAGAAACAATTGCTCCTTTTAACCCTCTTTTCCTCAACTCCAGATCAGGTCAAAATGGTCTAACCCCTCAATAGAAGAAACAATTGCTCCTTTTAACCCTCTTTTCCTTAACTCCTGATCAGATGAAAATGGCACAACTCGTTACTGGAAAAACGAATATTCTATTTAACCCTCTTTTCCTCTACTCCAGATCAGCTCAAAGTTGATCTACATAGCACCATAACCACCAAAATATAGTTCCGTTTCAACTACTTAACTGTTTTCTTTAAAACCAACCTACAGAAATACCTCTTTAATCGCCGAAACGTGTATATCGAGTGCAAAGGGGGTCGCATGGTTCATGGGACGATGCGTCGAACAAAGCGACCCTGTTTTCTCCCTTGACATCCTCCACCCGCCCGACGCGACTCGACGGCGGCGGCCGACGGCTGAGTTAATACTTATCCAGTCGCGTGGCCGTGATTGCACCATCTTCTTGAAATAGAATGCACACACGGGTCGTCGATGTTCGTACAGACTCTGACTGTACGCGCACGTTGCGATCGGTCGGGCGGGAGGAAGCAAGGGGGAGGGGGGGAGGAGGTAACGAGATGGAAAAAGAAGAAGGAAACGGGCGGAATGGATGCATGCAAAGCGTAATAATAAACGGACAAGATGGCGGCGAGGCGCTTCGCAAGAACGCGAACGGAGGAAGTCGAAACGAACGTGCAAAACTCGTCGTCGCGTACTCACTCGGGATATCGGACGTTCGGCAGAGCCTTCAGGAAGCAACGTTGACGCAGTATACCCTCCCATAATTGAACGCCGACGATCCCGAATATGAAGAATACGAAGAAACACAACAGCAACACGTTGCCCAGCATGGGAAGCGTGTCGAGCAACAGCATCACCAGTATCCTCATACCTGGAACAAGGAAAATAATAGGGAAGATTACCGTTTTTTCTTCCTCAGCTACGTTATGTCTCAAAATACATGGCCGTCCACTCTAGTAACCCTCAACCGTCCATCATTTTCTCAACTTACTTTGTCTCTCGGTGTCAGATTGACCCAGTGGTAAAAATTAATACAATGAAATGATAAGTCGTTAAGTTTGCAAACTCTTTAAAATAAAAATCACGAAGCTAAATTTACCTACACATGACAGAATAACGTCATTTCTTAAGAGAAAACTGTGTCAAATTGACACAAGGGACGGATGGAGGTTAACTGCATCTTTTTGGTATGCTGTACAAAAATTTGTTTTTCATAAAATTTTTTTTATAAACAATGTGTTTGCTAACGATAAATAACGGCAGTACCCAGATAACACACAGCCCAGATAGTACATGTCGCCTAAAGACGTCTTGAAGACGACTTAAAGGCGCCTTAAACCTAGAATAGCCGTAAAATGGACATCTTAAAGGCGTCAGGTGCTATCTGGGAGACGGCTTAACACGGCTTAATGGCGGCTTAAAGACGCCTTAAACTTAAAAATAGCCGTATAATGGGCGTTCTCAAGGCGTCACATGCTATGTAGGTAGCAGTCGAAGTAATACCGTTTTTCTAATACTTGGATGTCATTGAAAGAATATTCGTACTGCCGATCGTTAAGTAATGTTCCAAATATTGTCACTGAGTGCGACATACTCAGGTCTTCTCATTTTGTTTTTTGTCCAAATCCGAGTCTCTGCTTAGCTTTTGTTTACTCTGTTTAGATTAGTTCCAAAGGAGGACACCCCCTAATAACGCGGTTGCTCATGTCGCATTCATCGAGGGATCACTGTAGTTTTAGCACTTAAATATTTAAAAATTCCTTTGAAATAATAAAATTAAATCGTGATAGAACATCGATGGTAAGGCCTTACTGATTATAATTATTCAGATTTAAAGCGTGAATCTCTTTCATTTTACTCACTGCTAGAAATTAATTGAAAAATGTCACTCAACCAACAACTGACGGAATCTCTCTTCTGAAAAAAAGGATCTTACGTTTACGCAGTCTGTCGCAATGCCGTCGTTCCCACTAGAAACTAGATAAATAAAGGATCCTTCTATTTACGTCCCGAAGGGGTAAGAATAATGTCACCCCCTGTGACGTAACCGGAAGAAGCGGTTGAATAAAAGTGCACGACACCGCGGGAACCACGGAGAATATAGGTACAGTGGGATTAATATGACATACAGTGACTTTAAATAAAACTCTTCATCATTTGTTCATTCGATTTGCTCAGAAATAAAAGTCGTTTCAAGTTTGCTCACTGGCTGTGAGTAAAACATTCGTTTTCCATGCAGTCGAATGAATTTTGCATTTGAATAGAATATAGTAGATAAAGTTAATAATATTTTTATTATGTGCACTATTTTTTTGTAAATTCAATATTTCTTCGTGAATAATTACGGACATTGCTCGCTTAATAATGTTCAACGGTTTTTCTTTTACATAACCGCGCCATTTTTGTCAAACTCAATGGCGGGAATATCTAATGAATTTAAATTGTGAATTAATTATTAGATGCATAGATACAGAAGTAACACGTCATGTTTCCGTGAAAAAGATTTATTAATATTGAATACAGTTGCTTCGATATTTGTTACACGAAGTAACGGTTCCCTGTATTTTCTATATAATTTTGTCGTTACATTTAGGTGAAAATTTGAATTTCCCGCCGAGAAATATCAACTCATATTCAATGGGCATTATTTTTACTGAGAAAAACAGTTTCTTTATTTATTCATTCGTTGCAATTTATATTTCGAAATACAGCAAACAAAAAACTGTTGTGCGAGTAGAGTAAGGATTTTTATGCATTTATGACGAAGTGTTTTTCATAACGTTTCGTACCATTTATGGATTAAGTTAAATACGTATACCCACATACATATCGAAAAGTAAAATAACGGAACGTATGTGCAATCCAAAAGGAAGCAATAAAAATGTCATTAATGCAATTATTGTTATTCCATTTTGTTATTGTTATTCTTATTGCTATAAAGTAACTAAAAAATAACTGTAATTTATCAATTACAATTAACTTGTTCGTTTCATATATTTATAACATTTACGACTGTTGAATATACTATTTTTAAGATACATATATTTATTTTATAAACTAGCATAAAATTCGAATCAGCTGCAGATTTAATGTGTGGCTGTTTAACGATCGATTAAATAGAAATTGTAAATCACAAAAAACAATCGTAAAGTCCACATACGGTTTTATCAGTCATTTACCATTGAGCTGTACCATATATGTATATCATTCTGTTCTAGTAAGAATAAACGAGAACTCGACAAGTTTTACCCAAATAGAAACGATCGACTAAATGAAGAAAAAAAAAATAAGCTAAACCGTATTAACGTTCCTTAAATAAAATCCCAAAGTTCTAATTACGGTTGCGAGATAAATACGATATTTTTAGTCGACGTTCACCGATACCGTTGCGAAACATCACACACGACGACTGGAGTATCTCAACTGTCCTTTCGCACGAAAAGAAAAGTGTGCTGCAACCGTTACGCCGCTTCGGATCTGAATCGCCGGCATTACTCACGGTCGCGTAACAGCCGCGATAAAATGCACGTAACAGCCTGGCACTCATACCCGTGAAATAAATATCGATGCAAGTGCAGCAGATCTTCATGGAAACTGCAATTGAACGAAGATTTGTTATACAGGGTGGACCACCGAAACGTGATCGACTTTGGTTACACTATTCAACAGCCATCTGGACTTCTAACATTCAATAGTCGTTTCTTGTAGATTTTTATGCCCTGAATTGGGATTTACTCATTTACGTCACGCAATCTGGTGGCGAAAAAAATAAGCAGTCAAATCGGGTCAACTATCCCTTGTGATATACGGAGTTAGTACTGCTTTTGGACATTCGAAGTACAATTCTTTGTTTTAACACGTTAGATACGCTAAATATTTAATAAAAAAAAAAGTGCAAACGGTTTTTCGCCAGCAACCTCAGTTTTCGAGAAGTTTGATTTTTAAAAAAAAATGCGAATTTGCAACTTTGAACATTTCCTGTGGTAAGACATTAATAGTTATTCGGTGGATTGTTCCACCGAAACCATTTAATTTGATGAAAATTAAATTAAAAATGTGATTGGTTTTTTTGCATTTAAGAAAGATCGTAATATTGTTTCCATACTCACTCGGAATTCTGTTGATGGCACGCAACGGTCTTAGGACTCTTATCGTTCGTATCGCCGACAGATTCATGTTCTCCACGTTCAAGCAGTATTCCAGGGCACTGTAATAAAATGAATAAACAAACATCGTCTGAATTTTCCTTTTTTTATAATTGTTTGCAATGTACTAGAAATATTCCTATAAAAGGCGATTCCAAAAAACATTCAATGAATTATACATCATTGTAAGGGACGCATCGGATGAATACAACTTTATTTCATTATATCTGATTTTTTCTTTTCATATTAAGGTGACCTTGAGTTTTTCATGCATAATGCATCTTTTTTTTTAATACCTTCATGCTATAGGTCGTTGAATTCGTCCTTCTATTGGCAACAACGTAGTATGAAAAAAGATGAGAAAACTTAAAATCACCTTGATATTTCAACAAAAAGTAAGATATAAAAAAATCAAATTGTATCCATCCGATCGGCCCCTTAAAATGCTACACAATTCATTAAAACGTATTCGGATACAATCAATAGGTAACGAGTTATTTCAGATAGTAATTGTTACCGAATCACCCTGTATACTACATAATGATCACACTCAATGTGTCAGTATAATCATATTAGGTTTTACAAGATAGTTTCGAAAGCTCTAAATATCTCAAAAGCACATTCGCTTACTGACACCATCGATGCTTTCAAGGTGTCAATTATTTTTATAACGAATGTTACGGTTTGTTCGACCGAATATTTCTCGCCAGTAGTAGTACACCACGATTATATAACCAACGTGAACATTATTTCGGTTGTTGACACAACTGTTAAGTCTTTCTACGGCTGCCACCTGTTCTTTCACTCACTAGGGGAATTTCGATAACCCGAGAATCCCGATGTTTTTTACAACTTCGCATATACGTAGGGGACCTCTGTAGAAACATCAAACAATCTTCCATTTTTGCTGATATTCGGTTCCTCAGGATGAAACCACCCCTTAAATGTTAATGTGTGTTCTCCTATATTCCAGTGTATATTGAAGACCATAATAGATATCAAAAAATTGTTAGGACAAAAATTGAATGGCTTCTCATGTTCCATAAAACTGTGTAATGAAATTGTCAAAAATTTATTTGTTCATTTATTTATTTATTTAGACAAAAAATTTTCAACAGTTCCATCGCACAATCATGTAGAGCATAAAAATCCATTAAATTTTAACTGCAACAATTTTGTTATATCTACTATAGTTTTCAAGATATACGGAAAAATAGGAAAACCTACATTGGCATGTAGCAGGTGTCTTCACTCCAAAGAACCGAAATACTTCAACACTGATGCTTCCATTGAAAGTCCGCTATAAAACCGCAAAAGCTAATAAAAAATTGGACTGTTTGGTTGACTACATTTCTCCTCGCGCACAATGATCCTTCTTCTCAAAAAGCTGGCCAAAATAAATTTTTTGATAAAGGTTGCAGCTGTTGCTAGTATGACGAATTTAATGTATACATATCAGTGTGACAAATGATGCTGGAAATGGTGAAATATAGTGATCGGTTAGTGAGATATAGGCCACCAAAGTTGACGAAATTTCGTGCTTCTTAATGGCTTCAAAACGCTAGCATGTTTAATGTATCAAGCAAAGTTTATTTAAACCATTTTACTATTAACGTATATGTTATAAACATAACTTTGCACATAAACAATACAAACTATCTTTGAATTTACTTTTGTACTTTCCTTCTGAAGATGTTATAAATCGTCGGGTTTAGCCATATTAAATATTACATATACAGTGGACTCTAACTATATTGCCATGATCGGAGCTCTAGGAGAGTAAAATGGCAATGAGTTCAGAGCCCCCTCCACGCCAAGTTCTATCGTCACAGCGTCGGCCTCAGCGCAAAAGCTGGGTCGTGTTGGAAATTGAATTTGTGTGCTCGAAAGTACGTGTGAAGTGGAAGTGCCTCGCGTGGCAACATGTTCAGTGGCAATATAGTCAGAGTCCACTGTACATAATATCGTTCCTCAACTAATATCCTAACTCTTACTTTCTTCATTATTATTGTCAACAACATATTAGAACTGCATTCATGCCCCGTTAAAATCGAGGAAAAATAAAATTTTCTGAATTCTGCATTTCTGGCAAGATATTCGAATCTGTCAACCCCAGAACCAGGAGAATACCGATTTTTATGAGAATCCAATGAATTCATGAATTTTCGCCAACTTTTCGGGAAAAAAAAACCATTGTGATGGTTCTCGCCAACCTCCAAAAAACACTCACCCGGCCGCGACGATAAAAAAGTCGAGCCTGTTCCAGGAGTCCGCGAGGTACGTCCCCTTCCCGTATATTCCCATCGCGACCATCTTGATTGTCATCTCGAGGGCGAAGAAGGCGAAAATGATGTCGTCGAACATCTGTAAACAACACAGACACACATCCACGTGTTGCGAAAATTGGCTCGCTGATCAGCCAGGGGAAGGGACAACGGTTAATCCCGATCGGGCGTAATTGATCAAGGACACTCTAGCCAGGGGTTCCATTACTCATCGAACACCAGATGCTCGGCTCCTCGTGTTTGCCCTCCGTTTTCGCCGTTACATGTAAATTCCCCGTGCGAGCCGCGCATGGTAAACAGTGCAATTAATCAACCAACATCCTCCCCCCTTTTTAACGTCACACAGCTTTGGATTCTACTTCGCCCGAACGTGAACTTTCAGTCGGTTCATTTATCCTTCTCGAAAGGACTCTGATAGACCCTTATATTTTTTGCTCGACGTACAGGGTAGGTTGTATGTTACTGGCGAACTGATGCTTTTAACAGTAGAACTGAGAGCGTCGAATCAGTGTACTGAAATGGGTGGAGGTTGCGTTTAAGGGATGTAGCTTCGATGGCTTTGACCTTGACATATTGTGTGAAGGACACTCTTGCCAGATAGCACATGACGCCTTATGACGCCTAAAGACGGCTTAAAGACGCCTTAAACCTAAAATAGCCGTAAAATGAGCGTCTTGAAGACGTCACATGCTATCTGGGAAAAAGGTATTATTGCCCTTCTAATAACTTGTTAATAAACAACATTTAATGAAATGATTTTTACGAAAACTACCATTACAAACTTTCTATCTCCGTAACTATTAAAGATATGAACATGATTCTTTTTTCTAACTTGTAATTAACTCCCAGATAACACATGACGTCTAATGACGCCTTAAAGACGGCTTAAAGACGCCTTAAACCTAAAATGGCCGTAAAATGAGCGTCTTTAAGACGTCACATGCTATCTGGGAAAAAGGTATTATTGCCCTTCTAATAACTTGTTAATAAACAACATTTGATGAAATGATTTTTACGAAAACTACCATTACAAACTTTCTATCTCCGTAACTATTAAAGATATGAACATGATTCTTTTTTCTAACTTGTAATTAACTCCCAGATAACACATGACGTCTAATGACGCCTTAAAGACGGCTTAAAGACGCCTTAAACCTAAAATGGCCGTAAAATGAGCGTCTTTAAGACGTCACATGCTATCTGGGAAAAAGGTATTATTGCCCTTCTAATAACTTGTTAATAAACAACATTTGATGAAATGATTTTTACGAAAACTACCATTACAAACTTTCTATCTCCGTAACTATTAAAGATATGAACATGATTCTTTTTTCTAACTTGTAATTAACTCCCAGATAACACATGACGTCTAATGACGTCTTAAAGACGGCTTAAAGACGCCTTAGACCTAAAATAGCCGTAAAATGGGCGTCTTTAAGGCGTCATGTGCTATCTGGGCTGTTTGTTTTGTACGTAAAGTTATTTGTACAAATATTTTAAAAATCTCTGTTTTGCATATTCGACCCCTAAGTCACAAATTTGAAAAATGTCGAAGAAAATCGATGTGAAGGTCAATTTTAGGGAAGTTTTTTTAAAACGAAACCCTTTTTTACACCCTGTATACACTTGGATTAAATGGAAATTACTAAAATAGTATCATATACAATGTTAAATTAAAGGTGAACATTAATTTCGGCAAAATCACCTGTATGATTTTTATAATTATGATAGAGGGAAACTGACATCCGTTATTATGACGCATTCGGTAGTTCTAATAGTGTTAAGTGAAAGAATGGAAACGGACGACAAAAGGATAGAGTAAGAAAGTACGAAACACACCCCCCTATCTCAAACAATGTACCATCTATTATAATTAACCTAAATTCGGAAGAGTCTAACCTTCCTCAAAATGAACAATAATTGACAAAGACAACAATAGACCCCTGGACATGTTTCGTCCAACCATTGATTTCCCGCCAAATTCATTAACAAGGGAAGGCACTAAACTGTCCCCTTACGATTTTTATGAAACTTCGTATGTCTGTTAATCGGTTAAAAATAAGTGATACGTATTTTTTTTTATCGGCTGAGACGGAATTTTAAGAATTGAAACCACCCCTCGAAGTTTCGACCCGAAAGTACTATCTCGAAAACCAGGGGAGATACATGAAAACTTCTAATGGACGAGGTTTGCCATTTTTTATGTAGAATAATATGATGCTAACAAATTGTCCAAAATATGATTTGTTTATAACAAAAAAATTTTGGATCGAAAGTTCGAGGGGTGATTTCACCCCTTAAAGTCGCGTCTCAGCCGATAAAAAAAAATACGTATCTCTTATTTTTGACTGCTTAACAGACATATGAAGTTTCGTCCCTTGTAAGAATGGCCCAACATGTATAATTCGTCATATAGACTATCCTAAGTTTCAAAACAAAACAATTACGTATAAATTTCTAACAAAGTATTTCTACAACTCAACAATATCGTCTTGTCGAATCAGAAGGGACGAAGAAAGAAGATGAAATAGATTTTACAAATGGACCCAGTGGTGAAAACTTAAATAGCAATTTCTGTATACCGTCATCCATGCTGTTGAAAGATTAAATTTCTAAAAGGTCAAATTGTTTGTTTAATTTATGATATTCCACGCGACGAGAGCTCGGAACTAGGAGGGACGTTTTAATTGCACCGTTTACAATCCGTAAAGACGGAACCCGAGAGAAATGGAAGCGTGCATGCGAGAACGGAAACGCGATTTATCGTTTCTGTTTTCATTTTCATGCTCGTTACGGTGTTCCGCTTAATGGGATCTACGAATACACACGTGTGCATATATACAGGGTGAGTCAATAAGAACTAGTATCTAAAATAACTTATTACGGGTCATTCCACGCCAAATCGATCACTTTCTGGCTTCTGATTTTGATGAAACTGTAATATATTATAGTCTATGTGAAATAATGACGAGTTTATGTCATCATTTTGCTGGCTTGAAAGTTATTAACAAGTTATAACACATTGAAATTTGCGAAAAGCCGGTATTTAACCAAACATGACAGTATAGATGAATTTTTATCTCGGAAACTATTTTACCTATACAGACCATTCTTGTTTCATTCGCATCGTAAAAGATGGAACTTACTGATTATATTTTTAATTTTGTTGTACGCACTCTTTTTCAATACGAAAATTGTAAATAACTTGTTATATATAGCATAATGGTATTAAAAAAAAAAATGCAATGACCTTGAAAAAACTCAAGGTCACCTTGATATCTAAAAAAAAATAAGATAATGAAATCAAATTGTATCCAACCAACTAATAGGTAATGAATTATTTTACATAATAGTTCTTATTGACTCACCCTGTATGCACCTATACCTATATATACATACGTACTTGTAATATTTTACAACGATTCGTCACGCATTGGTCGTCGACGCAGGGCTGATACATCCCCAGAGTGATGCAGTTCAGAAGGATTACCATCATGCTCACCCTTTCGAACCACGTGATTTCTACGTTAAGGAAAATAATATCTGGTCTTTTGATATTAAATTAGGCTGAAAATTATACAGATAATTTGTTGAGCTGCTGCTGCAAAAACTTGGACAATTAATAGACAGGACACGTTAGCGAAGCTTTATCACCTAACCCAGACTTAACCCAGACCTGCATCCTTTTTATATCTTGTACAAAAAATTTGTTTTTCATAAAATCAAGAACCAATGATCCTTTTTAAGACCGTTTGGAACATTTTTTAAAACCCTTTTTTTTATAAACAATGTATCTGGTCACGATAAATAACAAGGTATATGGTAGTCACAGTAACTGCGGTTTTCTAATGTTTGGATGTCATTCAGAGAAGTTTCGTACTGCTGATCGGCAAGAAATGTTCCGGATATTGTCACTAAAGTGACAAAGTGTGCATTTACTGCAGTAGACAAATGCAGTTACCGGATTATACTCTTATTAAAACGGTTAATTTTTAGAATTAGTATATTTATATATTATATAATACATGTATAAGATTTATAATATATTATATATTATATAAATACATTAACAAGTAATATTACTATGTGTATTTTTAATAATATTCTTTAGTAAATCTTCGTTTGTTTCCAAGGTTTATGATATTTATAATATGTACATAATACAATACAATTATATGTATAAATATACATATATAAATTATTAACATAATTATATATTAATAATATGTAAAAATATAGAAAGAAATATTAAAGTATATATTGTTGATAAACAAATTTTTCGAGGAAGAATAGTTCACAACTTTTATAACATAAACATTTCTAAAGTACACACCAAATCATACACAATTAAACCTTTGTATCATTGTAGAAACAAATAGTTTCAATCATTTTATGATTGATCCTTTCACAGGCCAAAGTGAACGACTCCACTTTTTAATTTTTTTGTCAAATTTTAGTGCCAAAGCATTCCAATTGATTCTTAATATCTTTTCTTTAAAATAAATTTCAAAACAATTATAAAACACATTTGTAAAACAGTTTTAAAACTAAATTATTATTTTAATATAAAATGTAAAAGCCTTTAAAATAAATTATTGTTATTTTAAAATAAATTTTACAATCTAAATTTCGTGGAATTAACTCCACTTTGGCAGATGAACGGACTCAATTAAATCCCTCTCTATAATTGCCTACAATTCCCAATGACAATAAGGGAACAATTCGCCAGCCGTTCCATCAATTCCAAGTCATTCCAGCTAAACGTTTCATTCAATACCGATACATCGAACCGGCCACCCGCTATCCCAGTGCTCGATCAAACACTTATGAACCGCAATAACTCGCCCCGTCCCCTCTGGCTACTAGGCCCCGCCACACGGGCGACAAATTGACCAACCGATTATCCCCCTTTTATTTCTACCAGATGACACCTTCGCCGTCCACGCTCGGCCGAGTACACACACACAGTGACGTAATCCCCGCTGTTAACCCCCCCCCCCCTCCCGATAGACCTCTAGAAGTCCGACGGCTCTATCGTCATCGTGACGCGACCAATACCTTTCCCATTACGGCCGCCTTTCAGTTTCGCGTCGTCACGAAACGATCGATCCACCAGACAAGACACAACCACCCGTAATCTCGCTTGATCGATCACACGTTGCCAAGTGACGATTAAACCTAAACAATATCTCCTCTGTAATTCGTGTCACGCCGACTTTCGCCCGTCTGATGGTACCGATAACCCCCATTGAGAAACCACGACGACATCTCGTCTGCACGAACGCGACTAAGGGTGAACAGTGTGAACACACCTAACCGGTTCCCTCCACGAAACAAGATGGCGGCCAAGTGTCCACACGGCGTAACATGTAGCTGCGTCTGCACTGAACGGCGTGGTCCTCGGAACTTGCACACATCAAATAACTTCTAAAGTATGCATTATATGAAAAAATTTGTCATACAAAACTTGCATGGTTTTAAGGGACATATTATGTAGTGCATATAATTGTACATACATTAGTACATTTTCTGGAAATGTGGTGGAAGTATTCGTTAATTATTAGGTTTAGAACTAATAAAGGTCAATACTTTCTTACTCAAAACTCAACACTCTTCGAGATTGGTATAAGAAGTATAGCATTCTATTTAAAATAACGAAGTTGACCTTGAAATTTCCGAAACTCTACCACCTACCAAAAAATTATATGTACTAGATAATGTATTCCTTCATACCATGCAACTTTTGTATAAAAAATGTTTCATACAATGCATACTTTAGAAGTTATTTAAGGTGTGCAAGTTGCGTGAGCCACCCTGTATAGCATAACAAGATATATAGCGAAGTCCTAAAAATTGGAAGAAAGGAAAAAAAATTGAATATAACATCAAGTATGACGCAAGTATTAATAGTGAGATGCAACATTTTCTGCAAACTTGTTATGGACTTACCCAAAGGGTATAATTTTGTAACAAGTTACAAGAACAGGTTGTATCAGCAAAAATGTATAACAATTTTTTATACAGGGTGTCCCAAAAAGATGATACAATACGCAACATGCATATTCCTCATGCAAATATAAGTCGAAAAGTCCTTTATCGTTTTGTAATCTGAAGCTCCATTTCCGAGATATTAGCTGTTAAACGAATTCCAATCAGCTGAACAGTCTGCGCATAAGTGTGGCCCACCGCTCAGCTGATTGAAGTTCGTTTGACTGTTAATATCTCGGAAATGGAGCTTCAGATTAGGAAACGGTAAAGGATTTTTCGATTTGTATTTGCACAAGGAATAAGCTTGTTGCGAATTATTCCATGTATTTGGGACACGCTGTATAACATTATCTTGTTATAAAGTATAGACATAGCTTTACGTGACAAGTTGCCATGCGATGGGTATCTATACTGCGGGGTATATAGAGACAGCAAATTTAGAGGTCTGGGCTTTGGTGATTGGAAAAGAGTGTTGTTCGGTGGACGAAACATATCAGATTTGTAAAATTAGGAACGATAGTAAATAATTGGCGCGTCCTAACCTAACCAGATATGGGCCACGCAGATCCTTGTTAGAGTAGTAGGATCCCTTTTAAGGACACTGATTTTTACAGTGAAACTAATAAATGGGCTGCAAGCATACAAATTTTATAAGCTACTTTATAGAAATTGGAGTCTAAATATTTGTTTATACCATTAAAGTTTCCAAATCAGGTTCCAAATCAGATACCAAATCAGCTTTCAGATCAAATTCCTATCAGGCTCCAAATAAAGTAAAAACATTATTAAGGGGACTTTCCCATTCAAAATTGAAAAAAAAGACACTTTTTTAATATTTCTTTATAAAAAAACTATTATATTTAGAAACATAATTCCTTTTGGATTCTATTATATATATTATTAAGAACATAAAGAAATTTTTTCTAGCACTTCTAGTTCACCACGACCGCTGTAGAGGGCGTCTTCCAAAAAGCCACGTTTTAATCGGTGCGACACTTTGCAGACGTCCTGAAAAAAATTAAGTAAAAATTCAAACGGGATTCTATTCGTGAGACTTAAAACTAGACAATAAACCTCTAAAAGTTCATAAAACTATCCCCTCCTTTTTTATACAGGGGTGAATTGCCCCCAAAAAAGAGTGATTTTTCGAATTTTTCGGAAAAATATGTATAAAACGATAAAAAATACAAAAAATAAAATATTTTAGAGGTTTATTGTCTAGTTTTAAGTCTCACGAATAGAATCCCGTTTGAATTTTTACTTAATTTTTTACAGGACGTCTGCAAAGTGTCGCACCGATTAAAACGTGGCTTTTTGGAAGACGCCCTCTACAGCGGTCGTGGTGAACTAGAAGTGCTAGAAAAAATTTCTTTATGTTCTTAATAATATATATAACGGCGTCCAAAAGGAATTATGTTTCTAAATATAATAGTGTTTTTATAAAGAAATATTAAAAAAAAGTGTCTTTTTTTTCAATTTTGAATGGTAAAGTCCCCTTAACCTTTAATGTGGCTTTTATAAATGCATAAAATTCGGAATCAACTAATGAGAAACTAATTTAAGTAGAGATAGTTTCTGGGGACCTGTAACTCTAACAATTTCAGTAATTTCTAGGTTTTGTAGCATATCTTTATATCATCGAGTGAGCTCTTCGAGCCTTTCACATCTCAAATTACTGTGAAGACGATCGATCCCGAGGTCTGAAGAATACGTCTGTGATCAACCAAAAAGAGTGTTTCCAGTTGTCTAGATATCTTGCCGACCGACAATACGGTAAGAACGATGGAAACCGTATTCGAGGTGGAGACATTTTTACGGGCCAAGGTGAGCTCCAAGTTCGTCTCGTCTGAAACTGGTGGTTAAGAGGGTCGTTCCGAGACGTGAAAAACACTTCTGTGGTCACCGAACAAAATTTTACGAGTTCGCTGTAGCTTGTCCGCCGAGTATATCATGACACCAGGCGAGTGGTGTCTAACCCAGACCTTTCCCAGCAACCACGGTCTGAATTATAGTCAAGAAAGAAGATACAGCGAAATTTTAGCGTTTTCTTAAGTTAACACAGGTGTGTTTTATACACTTTAAGATGACGATATTCTGTAAAATTTGAAACGGGAATGCCTCGAAACATAGCCAGAAGATATCTCTATTCAAATTGAGTTTCACTCTAAAAGGACCCAACTGAAGATCAGCTTTGTCTTTATCTTGGATAGCTGATTCAACAATTTCACAGTATCCACAAACTATAGTTTTTCTCTTGTAAATTTGAAAATTTTTTAAGACGGTCTTGGGTTCGAATACCCTAACTGGACCAAGTCTGTATAAGAAATTTGAGTTCTACTCTAAAAAGTCCTAAGTGGAAATCTGCTTTGGTTTTACCTTGATAAGCTAGTTTTATGATTTCACTGTATTTTATCCACCAACCATAGCTTTTCTCATGTAAATCTGAAGATTTTTGAATAGCTGAAAACAGTCTTGGGTCGAATACCCTAACTGGACCAAGACTGCAGAAGATTCCGGTTTGTGGATC